CCAAGGCGGTGGTGCCGCAGCAACCTGAGGGGACTCAGTAGTCAGTGTGTACAGGTCCGACCCCGGCTGCCGAGTGAAGGTAGCCAAGTGACGGCCCGTACGAGCACACGTGCAGTGTGTCACGCGCTCGTAGGCAGGGGTGAACTGGTGAACACCCCCGTCCTGGAGTGCACAGCCTGCCACCAAGTTCGTAGAGAACGAGGGGAGGTGGAGACCTGACAGTGTGCCCGACGGGACCGCAGGGTAGGGAAGGACAGTGGAAGAGGTCGCAATGACCGGACCCCCAGAGGGGTCAGCAAGGGAGACAGCAACTGGTCGAGCAAGCGGCTCAAGGGCAGTGCGGTCACGAAAGAAGCAGCGAGAAGCACCTGAGTCCAGTGTGAAGGTGTGCAGTGCGGCAGTCGACGCAGTACCAAGGGGGGGAGACACACGAGCACCTAGAGCAGCAGCCTCACCAGCACCTGGGGTAGCCGACACGTGAGTACCTGGAGCGGCAGACGCACTGGCCCTAATGCCCGGGTCGGGCGGCACACACAAGTACTCAGCACCCTCTCCACTAGTAGACATCACATACATGGCAGATAGAATAGCATCAAAGTCTAGATCATAGATATCAATCCCCTTCTTCAGGAGATCAAGCCAGCGGGGCAGCTCAGTGGCCTGAGGGAACTGAACACGCCAAGCATCGTCGAGACGAGAGAAGCAGCGCTGTGTGGCGTGCGGTCGTCCACACTGCTGACCAGTGCGGTCACCAGTGCGAATGACGTACGTGCAGCTAAGACCACCCCCACCCCCGTGCTGAGAGTACCACTCACGGACCTCCTGGGGCGAGAGAGTGTGCTGCTGGCCCTGGCCACCGCCAGCGCCTCCACGGCCACCACCACCGCTGCCACCTCCTCGACCACCCCAACCCCTGCCGCCGCCTCGTCCACCGCCACCCCAACCGCCGCCTCCACTCCTGCCACCTCCCCCGCCGCTGCCGCCACCACCCCCACCGCTACCACTCGCCCCTCCAGCCGAGCCACCACCCCCACTGCCTCCACCGCCCCCACCGCCGCCTACCCCGCCGTCACCGCCACTACCCTTGCCCCCTTTGCCCTTGCCGCTGCGGCGTCCGCTCGAGACAGACGCAGCGCCGACCTTCTCAGTACCAAGAAGGTCGACAGCAGCAGCAGAGGCGACAGAGGGAAGAAGGGGGGAAGGAGAACACCCCTCAAAGAACGGGGTACGGGGGTCGCCACGAGAGGCACCTACAGCGACTATGCTAGCCTCAGCTGCAAATAGCTCCTTCTCGAGGAGGGCAATGGTGAGCTCAGTGGGGCAACGAGCTAGGAAGTGGTCCCTGACAGCACGCAGTGTGTCAGGGAGGCGGGTGACTAGGTGATAGAGAGTGAGCCAGAGTGGAGGGGGGTGCGTGGCAAGGAACTCAGCAGGCATGGCGGCACGGAAGCGGGCCTCACTAGTACGGAGGTGCGTGATGAGGTCAGCGACTGTGTGAAAGGAGGCGAGGTCGGGAAACAGGTAGGGGAGGGAGAGACGGCCTAGTGCGGCAGAGGCAGGTGAGGAGTAGCGAGCAACTACAGCTGTGTACAGTGCCGGTGCAGTCTTGTGCTGACCAAAGTGCTCGCGTTCGTCTATCGGCAGGGAGTTGCGAATGGCGAAGCGAGCGTGGGCATCACGAGTCTGCCACTGTGAGCGAGCAGTGCTGTCAGCAGTAGCAGCAGGGGCAGTGACAAGGCCTAGGGCGTGATCGTACAGTGAGATGTCATCCTTGGCTGTGAGCTGTAGGTAGAGGTGCAGGCCATCGAGCCAGGTGTCAAACTTCACAGGGCGGCCCTCAGCATCGAACACGAGAACCTGTGGGCTAGCCATAGGAACAGTAGAAATAGCAGCAGTAGCGGTAGGAGAAGCAGGTAGGACGAACCAGGTAGGGCAGGGCGGCGCGGCTCGGTTCAGGTCGGGTCGCGGCTCGGCTGGGTGGCGCGGCTCGGCTCGGGGCGCGCGGCTCGGCTCAGGTCACGGCGGGGACGGGCCGCCCGCTCTCCCTCTTGTGCTGCGGCGGGAACGGGCCGCCCGGGGCCTCTGGGTGGTGGGCACGGGTCGGCGAGGTAGGCACGGGGCCGGTTGGGGCCCTAGAGGGGCGAGCGCGGGGCCGATCGGGGCCTGAGCGGGGCTAGCGCGGGGCCAAACGGGGCCTTGACGGGGCTAGCAAGGGGCCGACGGGGCCTGAACGGGGCTAGCGCGGGGCCGACGGGGCCTGAAACGGGGCCGAAGGGGCCTGAAACGGGGCTAGCGCGGGCCCGATCGGGGCCTGAATGGGGCTAGCGCGGGGCCGACGGGGCCTGAGAGGGGCTAGCGCGGGGCCTACGGGGCCTGAGACGGGGCTAGCGCGGGCCGACGGGGCCTGAAACGGGGCTAGCGCGGGCCGACGGGGCCTGAGAGGGGCTAGCGCGGGGCCGACGGGGCCTGAAACGGGGCCGACGGGGCCTGAAACGGGGCTAGCGCGGGCCGACGGGGCCTGAGAGGGGCTAGCGCGGGGCCGACGGAGCCTGAAAAGGGGCTAGCGTGGGGCCTGAACGGGGCCTTAAAGGGGCCGACGGGGCCTGAACGGGGCTAGCGCGGGGCCGTCAAGAGGGGCCTCTAGGGGCGTGACACGCCGAGGCGCCCTAGGGCACGGGTAGGTAGGTAGGTAGGTAGTTACGTAGTGGTGGGCCCTTAGAAAATTTCGGTCCTAGGAAGGACCTGCTCTATACCATGTTGGAATCACTGAACAGGAATGAATGAACTAGCAATGAAAAGAGTACAAGTACCTAACCCTAGAATTGTGTACCCCCTATAGGCTAACCCACTGTAGCCTAAACTAACACAACATATATAATGTTTGACACTTGCCAGAGGTTTCCTCTGGCATTTTTTTAATCCGGCACATTACCCAAAACCGGTTTTTAGCCCTGAAATTCTTACGTCGAACGTGTCTCTTCCCGCGAAAGTGTGGCGTACCCGGAAAGACGTGCACGAGGGCGACAACGTCACTATTCGGATACGCGACAAAAATCAGCACACTCATCTAGGCAAACAGTTGCGCTCAATTTCGGTCCATATCGTAACCAATCCGCGCATAGTTATATGATTCCACGATCATATATTCAGTTGGACGGATGTCAGTACGCGCGACCAATTACAGAGTGCGCCTGATTGGTCGACTTTATGCGCGAGGCCTTTTCTGACCTTGCACGTCCAATCAGACGCGGTCATGTAAGATCGCGCTCATATAAAACCGCATATTTACCTATATGAGCGCGCATATGTGATGCTCGAATGTGTGTATGATCTGTTTTATTAATCTAAAACTATATTAATAAATTTGAGAGACATTATCACTGCCGGCATTTTGCCATTATACCTATATCACGCTGTGCGATATAGGTATGCACAGTTTGATATAGGTATAATGGCAAAACGCTGGTAGTGATAACGTCTCTCAAATTTATTAACATAGTTTTATATTAATAAAACAGATCACACACACATTCGAGCATCACATATGCGCGCTCATATAGGTAAATATGCGGTTTTGTATGAGCGCAATCTTACATGACCGCGTCTGATTGGACGCGCAAGGTCAGAAAAGGCCCCACGCATAAAGTCGACCAATCAAGCACACTCTGTAATTGGTCGCGCGTACTGACATCCGTGCAACTGAGTATATGATCGGGGAATCATATAACTATGCGCGGATTGGTTACGATATGGACCGAAATTGAGCGCAACTGTTTGCCTAGATTACCGTGCCGATTTTTGTCGCGTATCCGAACAGTGACGGCGCCGCCCTCGTGCACGTCTTTCCGGGTGCGTCACACTTTCGCAGGAAGAGACAAGTTCGACGTAAGAATTTCAGGGCTAAAAACCGGTTTTGGGTAATGTGCCGGATAAAAAAAATGCCAGAGGAAACCTCTGGCAAGACCACTCGAGCAATTATCATCGAATTGTCCGACCACGGTAGCAATTCAAGGCTACGTGTGCAACGGCAAATCACCGTTTCCGGGTCTGGAGAAATTCTCTCTCGAAAGAAATCGTAAGGGTGAAGGAAAAAGATGACCTAGATTTGAGCGGAAAACGACAAGGGTGTGGCAGTGGTCGCCAAGATTCTCGGCTATAGTACTGTACCCAAGGACACTCTCCACTCCACCACAACTCGCCCTTGAAACGGAACTGTGGGCAGGAGTGAGGCAGGACTGGGTCCTTGTTCGCATCGCAGTAGAGTATCTGAATGCTCGACGGCTTGACTTCACCTCCTCAGTTGACGGCTAGTCGCTTCCGCTAGCAGCCCGCACGGATACATATCGGCTGCACTTGTGAGTCGTGACTTCTGCCGGCCGTCTCTGTGGCCAGCTCGCTTTGCGGGATCTTGACGGAACCACCCTTTCTGTATGTGGATCACTCCTCGGGATTGTTGCCGAGACTCATCAATATGCCGCCGGTCTCATCTTTTTGGGATTGTTTCCAAAAAGACCCCAAGTAAACCCAAGGGAAACTCAAGGGAACCCAAGAGAACCGACCGGAACCCAAGAGAACCCAACCGAAATCTCACAAAATAGCAAAGTTACCATGTAAAAATATCTAGTTTTATTCTATAAAAGTAATGTTTATGGCATTCCATAATTTGTCATTACATGATATATGTATAGATACGCCAACTTCCCTTGTCATAATCATCCAAGTGGTTTAAAACCACCTCCAACCATCCTTGCAACAAGCTGTCGGGTAATGGCTTGTGTGAGGATAAATGTTTCACCTAACTATCAACTCATACAGAGCACGCCCATTCCAGCGTGCAAAACAGCAGCACCATATCAAGCTTATCGATATGTCTCACAACAAATCTACGCGAAAACTGCAGCCCTGCCCTCCTCCAATGCACCCACCACATTCCTCGTTACAGAATGAGAATATCCTACCCATTTCAACCCACCCCAACCTCATCATACCGCAGCCTGTCGTTAACTGGCAGCACGCCCCATGCTGCGGCACCACTCACCCATGGCGACATCTGCCTCACTCAGAATCGACTTCTTCACCATCCGGAACTGCAGCACTGTCTCCCTCTCATGCACCCACCGCATCACACCAGGTGAACACACCGGCTTGTTTGCCGAACCACCTGCCGAACCGCCTGCCGAGCCATCTGTTTGCTCGCCCTCGTCCGCGTCCCCCTCCCTGCTTCCCCGATCCTCCTCACCACTCGCTTCCCCGCTGTCCCCTGCCAGGATCTCACTCGCACTCCTGTACCTGCCCCCTCGACACGCCACCAGCTCCCTCAACCTATCCTCATCCTCATAGTAATCCGTTGAGAAAGACCATCCTCCTGACAGCCTCGACTCTGCTTCAGAAGCCTCTCTCGCTGCCCGCCTCTTCTCCTCGCCTGTCAGCCCCACGCCCAATAGGGCTCTCACCCGCTGCTGGATTGCGCATGCTGCTGCTGACAGGGAGGATAGGATGTCTGCTGACGTGGACTGGGCCAGCTGCTGCCACGTGTCAGCAGCCTGTGCTGCCATGTCATGGGGTTCGTCTGCTGTGCTGGATTCAGCTTCTTGATCCTCTGTACCGCGTGAATCTGGCTCTGTTTCCTCTGCTGCTGCTCCCGCATTATGCACATCATCACTAACATCAACATCAGCAGCAGTACCAGCAGCAGCAGCATCCGCAGCTAAAGCCCCCTTACTATCATCACCATCACCAGCATCAGTAGCAGCAGCAGCTGGAGCATCCTCAATATCATCACCAGCAGGTACAGCTGAAGCCCCACCATTATCATCACCATCACCAGCACCACCATCATAGTCATCATCAGTAAAGGGTTTCCCATTGTCCAAGATGGGTGCACTCAGATGCATGGCTGCCGTGGCGAGCTGTTCCGCATCCAACTCTGGAAAAGAGCGAGCAAGGGAGAGAGAAGAGTGGGGAGAGTAAGAGGGAGAAGAAGCAGGGGAGCGTGGTTCTGAGAGGGTAGAGGAGTTCCTTATCCAAGATGGGCGCACTCAGGTGCGTGGCTGCCGTGGCGAGCTGCTCCGCATCCAGCTCTGAGAAAGAATGAACATGGGAAGAGGGGGGAGAGGAAGCAGGGGAGAGGAAGCAGGGATGAGAGCAGCTGAGAGGGCTGAGGTCTCCTGTTGTCCAAGATGGGAGCACTCAGGATGGCTGCCCTGGCGAGCTGCTCCGCATTCAACTCAGGGCAGTGATTTTCTGTGCGCAAGATGGGGACACTCAGGTGCATGGCTGCCCTGGCGAGCTGCTTCAAATCTAACTCTGGAGAAGAGTGAGCATGGTAGGGGGTAGAGGAGACGGCGGAGGAGGGGGCAAAGGCGTGGATGGGGGCAGAGGAGGGGGCAAGGGCGAGGGATGGGAAAACAAAAGACTCATCTCAGGACTCGCACACCCCCTTCCCCCATTCTCCTACCATTCTACCACACTCCACCACACTCAAACCCTCCAAGCACTCTCACCTCGCCCGGTGTTCACCCAGTGCCACACAGGAGCAGCCATGGCCAGCATCTCAGGACTCGCATGCCCGCCCGCCCATTCCCCTACCTTTTTGCCACACTCCACCACACTCAACCCTTCCAAACTCTCTCACCTCGCCGTACTCTCACCCCTCCCTGTTCTCACCTCGGCCTGTGTCTATCCAGTGCCACACAGCAGCAGCCATGGCCAGAATCTCAGGGTTCACATGCCCGCCCGCCCAGCCTGCTACCGTGGCCACCACTACACCTCGCCCCACCACACTCAACCCCTCCAATGTAACTCTCACCTCGGCCTGTGTCTATCCAGTGCCACACAGCAGCACCCATGGTCAGCACCTCACGGCTCGCATGCCCGCCTGCCCAGCCTGCTACCATGGCCACCGTTATACCTCGTCCCACCACACTCAACCCCTCGAATCTAACTCTCACCTCGGCCTGTGTCTATCCAGTGCCACACAGCAGCAGCCATGGCCAGCATCTCAGGGCTCGCATGCCCGCCCGCCCACACCACCAGCTGCTTCTTTGCGCTCTCAAACTCCTCCTCGCTCTCCATCCCCTCCCACCACTCCCCACCCGTGCTGCCATCCCCACTCGTGCCAACCCTTTGCCCTTCCTCCCCCTGCCCCTCCTCCCTCTGCGCCTCCTCCCCTTTTCCGTCCCCACCTTGCCCCCTCTTCCCCTGCGCCTCCTGCCCCTCCCCCTCTTCCTCCGCCCGCCCCTGTCCCTTCTGCACCCCTGTCCGCCTCTCCTCTCTCATCCTCTCCACCACCTCCCTCACCGACGCCGCAACCCTCAGTGCCCCCCTCAGTGTTGCATAAGCAGGGTGTGACTGGGTGGGGTGCGGTTGAGTGGGGTGCGTCTGTTGCACTGCATACTCCACCAGACGAGCAGAGCTGGAGGGAAGAACCAGAGGGTTGGAGGGACGAGGAATAGAGGCTTGGACAAGGGTTGGAGGAGTGGGGAGCAAACAGAGAAATTAGACACACTCAGATAAGAGTGGCCGAGAGTGCAAAGCTGTCAAGAGAGGACAGGTGGGCTGCAAAGGCCTTACTCCCACCAATCTCGTGTTGTACTAGACCAACGAAACAAACCAGAGAAATTAGATACACTCTGATAAGAGTGGCCGAGAGTGCAAAGCAAAGCACAACATCATTTGGGGAAGAGCACACGGTGTCATAAGTGCGATATAGGCAGGCACGAAGCCATGCAACGACAGCATGTGGATGCTGGGCATGATGTGCATTTGTGGCAATGAAGCCATACTGCGCAACGCAAGCACGCACTGCAGCAACTTACCTGGGGAAGAGTATGACAGTATCATGAGGGTTGTACGCTGGCACGAAGCCATACTCTGCCAACATGTCAATGGTGGGCATGGGCGTTGGGCCCGGGGTTGAACCTTCATCCGGGGGTGAACCTTCATCCGGGGGTGAACCTTAATCCGGGGGTGAACCTTAATGTGGGGGTGAACCTTAATCCGGGGGCGAACCTTAATCGGGGAGCGAACCTTAATCCGGGGGCGAACCTTAAGCCGGGGGCGAACCTTAAGCCAGGGGCGAACCTTAATCCGGGGGCGAACCTTAATCCGGGGGTGAACCTTAATCAGGGGGCAAACCTTAATCCGGGGGCGAACCTTAATCCGGGGGCGAACCTTAATCCGGAGGCGGACCTTAATCCGGGGGCGAACCTTAATCCGGGGGCGAACCTTAATCCGGGGACGAACCTTAATCCGGGGGCGAACCTTAAGCCGGGGGCGAACCTTAATCCGGGGGCGAACCTTAATCCGGGGGCGAACCTTAATCCGGGGGCGAACCTTAATCCGGGGGCGAACCTTAATCCGGAGGCGAACCTTAATCCGGGGGCGAACCTTAAGCCGGGGGCGAACCTTAATCCGGGGGCGAACCTTAATCCGGGGTCGAACCTTAAGCCGGGGGCGAACCTTAATCCGGGGGCAAACCTTAAGCCGAGGGCGAACCTTAATCCGGGGGCGAACCTTAACCTGGGCGAACCTTAATCCGGGGGCGAACCTTAATCCGGGGGCGAACCTTAAGCGGGGGGAAAACCTTAATCCGGGGGCGAATCTTAATCCGGGGACGAACCTTAATCCGGGGGCGAACCTTAATCCGGGGGCGAACCTTAATCCGGGGGCGAACCTTAATCCGGGGGCGAACCTTAATCCGGGGGCGAACCTTAATCGGGGGGCGAACCTTAATCCGGGGGCGAACCTTAATCCGGGGGCGAACCTTAATCGGGGGGCGAACCTTAATCCGGGGGCGAACCTTAAGCCAGGGGAGAACCTTAAGCCGAGGGCGAACCTTAATCCGGGGGCGAACCTTAATCCGGGGGCGAACCTTAATCCGGGGGCGAACCTTAATCCGGGGGCGAACCTTAAGCCGGGGGCGAACCTTAAGCCGGGGGCGAACCTTAATCCGGGGGCGAACCTTAATCCGGGGGCGAACCTTAAGCCGGGGGCGAACCTTAATCCGGGGGCGAACCTTAATCCGGGGGCGAACCTTAATCGGGGGGCGAACCTTAAGCCGGGGGCGAACCTTAAGCCAGGGGCGAACCTTAATCCGGGGGCGAACCTTAATCCGGGGGTGAACCTTAATCAGGGGGCAAACCTTAATCCGGGGGCGAACCTTAATCCGGGGGCGAACCTTAATCCGGAGGCGGACCTTAATCCGGGGGCGAACCTTAATCCGGGGGCGAACCTTAATCCGGGGACGAACCTTAATCCGGGGGCGAACCTTAAGCCGGGGGCGAACCTTAATCCGGGGGCGAACCTTAATCCGGGGGCGAACCTTAATCCGGGGGCGAACCTTAATCCGGGGGCGAACCTTAATCCGGAGGCGAACCTTAATCCGGGGGCGAACCTTAAGCCGGGGGCGAACCTTAATCCGGGGGCGAACCTTAATCCGGGGTCGAACCTTAAGCCGGGGCGAACCTTAATCCGGGGGCAAACCTTAAGCAGAGGGCGAACCTTAATCCGGGGGCGAACCTTAACCTGGGCGAACCTTAATCCGGGGGCGAACCTTAATCCGGGGGCGAACCTTAAGCGGGGGGAAAACCTTAATCCGGGGGCGAATCTTAATCCGGGGACGAACCTTAATCCGGGGGCGAACCTTAATCCGGGGGCGAACCTTAATCCGGGGGCGAACCTTAATCCGGGGGCGAACCTTAATCCGGGGGCGAACCTTAATCGGGGGCGAACCTTAATCCGGGGGCGAACCTTAATCCGGGGGCGAACCTTAATCCGGGGGCGAACCTTAATCGGGGGGCGAACCTTAATCCGGGGGCGAACCTTAAGCCAGGGGAGAACCTTAAGCCGAGGGCGAACCTTAATCCGGGGGCGAACCTTAATCCGGGGGCGAACCTTAATCCGGGGGCGAACCTTAATCCGGGGGCGAACCTTAAGCCGGGGGCGAACCTTAAGCCGGGGGCGAACCTTAATCCGGGGGCGAACCTTAATCCGGGGGCGAACCTTAAGCCGGGGGCGAACCTTAATCCGGGGGCGAACCTTAATCCGGGGGCGAACCTTAATCGGGGGGCGAACCTTAAGCCGGGGGCGAACCTTAAGCCGGGGGCGAACCTTAATCCGGGGGCGAACCTTAATCCGGGGGCGAACCTTAATCCGGGGGCGAACCTTAATCGGGGGGCGAACCTTAATCCGGGGGCGAACCTTAAGCCGGGGGCGAACCTTAAGCCGGGGGCGAACCTTAATCCGGGGGCGAACCTTAATCCGGGGGCGAACCTTAGACCAGGGGCGAACCTTAATCCGGGGGCGAACCTTAATCCGGGGGCGAACCTTAATCCGGGGGCGAACCTTAGACCAGGGGCGAACCTTAATCCGGGGGCGAACCTTAATCCGGGGGAGAACCTTAATCCGGGGGCGAACCTTAATCCGGGGGCGAACCTTAATCGGGGGGCGAACCTTAATCCGGGGGCGAACCTTAAGCCGGGGGCGAACCTTAAGCCGGGGGCGAACCTTAATCTGGGGGCGAACCTTAATCCGGGGGAGAACCTTAAGCCGGGGGCGAACCTTAATCCGGGGGCGAACCTTAATCCGGGGGCGAACCTTAATCGGGGGGCGAACCTTAATCCGGGGGCGAACCTTAAGCCGGGGGCGAACCTTAAGCCGGGGGCGAACCTTAATCCGGGGGCGAACCTTAATCCGGGGGAGAACCTTAAGCCGGGGGCGAACCTTAATCCGGGGGCGAACCTTAATCCGGGGGCGAACCTTAAGCCGGAGGAGAACCTTAAGCCGGGGGCGAACCTTAATCCGGGGGCGAATCTTAATCCGGGGGCGAACCTTAAGCCGGGGGCGAACCTTAAGCTGGGGGCGAACCTTAAGCCGGGGGCGAACCTTAAGCCGGGGGCGAACCTTAATCCGGGGGCGAACCTTAATCCGGGGGCGAACCTTAAGCCGGGGGCGAACCTTAATCCGGGGGCGAACCTTAATCCGGGGGCGAACCTTAATCCGGGGGCGAACCTTAAGCCGGGGGCGAACCTTAATCCGGGGGCGAACCTTAAGCCGGGGGCGAACCTTAATCCGGGGGCGAACCTTAATCCGGGGGCGAACCTTAAGCCGGGGGCGAACCTTAATCCGGGGGCGAACCTTAATCCGGGGGCGAACATTAGACCGGGGGCGAACATTAGACCGGGGGCGAACATTAATCCGGGGGCGAACCTTAAGCCGAGGGCGAACCTTAATCCTGGGGCGAACCTTAATCCGGGGGCGAACCTTAATCCGGGGGCGAACCTTAAGCCGGGGGCGAACCTTAATCCGGGGGCGAACCTTAAGCCAGGGGCGAACCTTAATCTGGGGGCGAACCTTAATCCGGGGGCGAACCTTAATCCGGGGGCGAACCTTAATCCGGGGGCGAACCTTAATCCGGGGGCGAACCTTAGACCAGGGGCGAACCTTAATCCGGGGGCGAACCTTAAGCCGAGGGCGAACCTTAAGCCAGGGGAGAACTGTAAGCCGGGGGCGAACCTTAATCCGGGGGCGAACCTTAAGCCGGGGGCGAACCTTAAGCCGGGGGCGAACCTTAATCCGGGGGCGAACCTCAATCCGGGGGCGAACCGTAAGCCGGGGGCGAATCTAATCCGGGGGCGAACCTTAATCCGGGGGCGAACCTTAAGCTGAGGGCGAACCTTAAGCCAGGGGAGAACCTTAAGCTGGAGGAGAACCTTAAGACGGGGGCGAACCTTAAGCCGGGGGCGAACCTTAATCCGGGGGCGAATCTTAATCCGGGGGCGAACCTTAAGCCGGGGGCGAACCTTAAGCTGGGGGCGAACCTTAAGCCGGGGGCAAACCTTAAGCCGGGGGCGAACCTTAATCCGGGGGCGAACCTTAATCCGGGGGCGAACCTTAATCCGGGGGCGAACCTTAAGCCGGGGGCGAACCTTAATCCGGGGGCGAACCTTAAGCCGGGGGCGAACCTTAATCCGGGGGCGAACCTTAATCCGGGGGCGAACCTTAAGCCGGGGGCGAACCTTAATCCGGGGACGAACCTTAATCCAGGGGCAAACCTTAATCCGGGGACGAACCTTAATCCGGGGACGAACCTTAATCCGGGGGCGAACCTTAATCCGGGGGCGAACATTAGACCGGGGGCGAACATTAGACCGGGGGCGAACATTAATCCGGGGGCGAACCTTAAGCCGAGGGCGAGCCTTAAGCCGGGGGCGAACCTTAATCTGGGGGCGAACCTTAATCCGGGGGCGAACCTTAATCCGGGGGCGAACCTTAATCCGGGGGCGAACCTTAATCCAGGGGCGAACCTTAATCCGGGGGCGAACCTTAAGCCGAGGGCGAACCTTAAGCCAGGGGAGAACCGTAAGCCGGGGGCGAACCTTAATCCGGGGGCGAACCTTAATCCGGGGGCGAACCTTAAGCCGGGGGCGAACCTTAATCCGGGGGCGAACCTCAATCCGGGGGCGAACCGTAAGCCGGGGGCGAATCTAATCCGGGGGCGAACCTTAATCCGGGGGCGAACCTTAATCCGGGGGCGAACCTTAAGCCGGGGGCGAACCTTAATCCGGGGGCGAACCTTAATCCGGGGGCGAACCTTAATCCGGGGGCGAACCTTAATCCGGGGGCGAACCTTAGACCGGGGGCGAACCTTAATCCAGGGGCGAACCTTAAGCTGAGGGCGAACCTTAAGCCAGGGGAGAACCTTAAGCCGGAGGAGAACCTTAAGCCGGGGGCGAACCTTAATCCGGGGGCGAATCTTAATCCGGGGGCGGACCTTAAGCCGGGGGCGAACCTTAAGCTGGGGGCGAACCTTAAGCCAGGGGCAAACCTTAAGCCGGGGGCGAACCTTAATCCGGGGGCGAACCTTAATCCGGGGGCGAACCTTAAGCCGGGGGCGAA